GGTTGTACGTGGGCTGGGATACTGCCAGGGCGCCCACACCTAGACAGGAGGACGATTAGGGTCCTCAACCAAAGCCTTTGGCTCAAAAGCCTAACCGCAAGGCAGCGGTGTTTGGCGGGGAAATGCAAATGCATTACCTTTTCTACGGAACAAGTCACCATACATGTTCCAACCCCTAACCTGGAGGACCAGGAGACTGTGTTCGTCAGACCTCTAACCATTGACCAGCCTGGTATGAGAGACTGTGAGTTTCGCGCGGACATCCCTCAGTATAGCTCAATGGGTCTCCGAGGTATACAAACCGTCACACCACGGTAAGGTCCAGTCTCTTCGTGACGGAGAACGCGGATGGCTTGTTTCTGCGGTGATGTCTCATGTACTTGAACAGTACGTTTTTGTTTTTTCGAGCGAGGTCCATGTGGACTTGAAACACCTGAAGCCCGGTTCAGTCCACAAGACACTAACATTGGAATGAACATGGTCAGCATGACCGTCGGACTCTGGTGCTGATCTCATCTACACGGACCTCATTAGCTGGTTCTGTTCGCATCGGCGTAAGCATACAACCAACGGGCGCCTAGCCAGATATTGGAACTTGAGATCCTTTTCCCTCACCAGGCATAATTGGGAAATCCGTTACGGAAATGAAATGAACAGAATGTATTCATTGGCTTACAGGTCTTTTGGACGAACATTAGGAAAAACTGAGGCATTTCCCAAAGCACCCATCAATGACAACGCTACGCCGTTTAAAGGCTTGCATGTGCAAGAAACTCAAGGATATTTGGCCTTAATGTGACCCCCGGGGAGTACCATCTAGAGGCCTTCATGGGCATCGATCGTGAATACTTTATGGACATGGTCTTAGCCCACTGATTTAGGAGACAATCCCAAAACTAGATCTGTAGTGCCGGTTTCGGAAAACCTACATTTTCTGGATAGATTTTCTGGGAGGAAAACGAACACCCTTTAAGCTTCTAACAGTGCACTGAGTGGTGTTTTCTATGGTGATGTCGCTTCAGTCGTCATGAGTTCACCAGAATCAAAGGCCTGAACTACAAAGAAAAGATATGACATACCCCCCCAACCAGCACATTGATCTGGTCCAGCTCAGTAAAAGTGTCATGCAGGATTGATGTATCCTAACGAAAGAAATTTTCGCACTGAATGGTAACCATACACCAGGTTGTCTCCAGTTACCTGAAACTTCAACTTTTCGAAGCCTGTAAACGAGAGTGGTCCGGGTGCACATATATTCGCGGGGCGAGATGGTCCAAGTGGTTAGAGCGCGAATTTACTAACCGGAAGGTCCGTGGATCGAATCCGACCTCCGCCTCTCGACTTCCCCTGTCTAGGCGTGGGCAACCTTACAGTATCCCAGCCCTCGTGCTTCCTTCGGGTGGCATGGCAGCTAGGCACCGGAAGGGTGCTACAGCTGAACGTTTTTTAAACATATATATTCGCTAACACAAGCCGGATAGCGGTATTCACCTGTAATTCTTTTTCTTGAAACTTACTAGCCGGTGTGATGCCATGCCATTTTCGTCTGGGTGAATGGCTACTTTTTTACCAAAAAATCAAAAGATTCACAATGACTCGATTTCCACCCACTTAAACCTGACTCTCAAACTAACATGTGCTTCTAGAAACCCAACTACCGAATCATCCATCTCCCAATATTGTCTAGTTTCCAAACAAGCCGGCTTAGTATCGAGTCATTCGGGGCAGCCTAGAGGTGAACCACCTCTATAACAATCGTATACATCCTCATTTGATCAGTCCTTGTGCCACATCCAACCCGACACTACAGACCAGCTTTCTCCTTGTTGACCGAGAATGGAACAACACGACGAAAAAAATCTAGTTCAGCCCGGATAGTTTAATTTTACAAATCACACGATTTGGTTCATTTTCTCCCTTGATGTTCACCCATAGATTGATATTCGTTTCGTTTTAGATGTCACCTTTTCTGTCTTCTTGACACCGAACAGTATATACGTAGCAACCCCTCTGTAGTCGCGCTATGCAGTCTACCCAACGTTCTGCCACAAACCCATCTTCAACACTACAGCTTGCCGCCGCTCGAAAACGTGATTCGCAGGTGCAAGGATTGAAATCCCGATTGCGAATGAACATGACAGCCATCACCGAGAACTACGAAATGATTTTGTCCCGCGCAAAAGTTTGTTCCATGACCCATTTTCTCATTCTAATGTGTGCCTGATTACCAGGTGGATCCGAATGACAATCCCTCAGAATTGGGTTCGTTTGCCCAGACGGAACAGGATACGTTTGAGATGAGTGTGCGTGCTGCCAACATTGTAAGTTTATATCTGCCTACGCCTGATTCTTGGTTTGATGTTAAACGGTCCCCTTTAAACTGTTCTGAAAAGAAAACAGGAGTGGGTCGGGGTTCCAAAGACGAATCGGCGAGGACTCAAAGCTTAAGTACGATTATGTGAGTGGACAACACCGTACGTTGGTATCAGGTGAATCGAATCAATGCAAACGAACCCCTTTGATGAAAGCGATCTTTAGAAAAATCGTTCAACTTTGGTTTCATAAAGCCTATTTATCGTGGGACCTTAAAATAATTCGAATTTTATGCCTTATGCTGTCTTCTCATCACTTCCAGAGTTACACACTGGGTAGCTTCTCTCTAAATCTCTTTGTTTTTTACGAAATGAAGCCGGTCCATTAGAAACACGAATATGCACCTCGCGAAAAATCATTATACCATCATCGAGACAAAATTTTGGGACAGCCCGTCCTACTGAGTGATGTTTTGCTGCCACTTTGCACAAAAGCTTATTTTCGTGTATGTCGTTTTGTGGTTATGGGTAAACACTATTTTGGACACAGCGTCTTAACATATTCCATGGTTTCTTGATCAAGTTGAGGATTTCAAATTGCCCACTTCAATAGGCCAACGCCACACAAAGTTGGAACCACTGTCTTGTTTTGTTCAAATACTTCATCTTCCGGTTACTTCGTGGCGTCCTTGCCTTTTATCACCCCCGTGATGATTTGACATGGGAGGAAAATATGCACGCGAAAAGCATTCGATATGTAGATTTGTGTGGGAATTGTGATTTTTGTAAGTCATTGAATTGCCTGATGCATAGCTATCAGCCGAGTCGGGATTCACGAAAAATATTTTGAATCAGCCTACATCTATGATGGATGTCAACCAGTCGGATGACGTACGCGTGGATAGTGAGGGGTGTCTGTCCTTCCGGTAACTAGGGCCACAACATGTCACCTGGTGAGCGATTTAGCCATGAATACACACCAACCTCTATGTTCTGTTGCAAGACTTGGGCTCTGTTTAGATGACAGGAATCCACTGAATTTGATGCATCAGTAAAGATCGAATGAGGTATCCCACGTAAGGACTGCGTTGGTTCGCCTGAGGCAAAAGTATGATTGCTTGAAAATCAGTACCGGGCATAAACAATCCGTCCGGAAAGATCTTACACTAGTTCACAATCCGGGTGAAATTTTGCAAAATAGTTGTTCCATGTGGTGTTCATCATTAGCTGTAAATCCCGCGTATTTGCCATACAGTGGCTGTGACTGTCAGTTTCGTTCACCTGTGTTGGAGAGGTGAAGTAGATAGCTACAAATTCGAGGTGGTGGCTGATATATTATCATCATTGTCAGCTGTAAGAACCGCGTACTTGTTTTACAGTGGTTTTAGCTGCCACAGTTTCGTTCACTGATGATTTGAGGAGGTGGGATAGGTAGCTGCGCTGCAGCTGATATAATTGATGCGTAACTATATGGGTGTCAGTGGAATTTTAATTTGGGAAACCGGGAGGGGAGCTGTGCGTTGAAGACAAGAGCTTGAATACATGAGAGCCATTGAGGGCGCAACTGCTCCATATCTGATATTTTCTCGAAACATTGATGTGTCCCACCTAGAGGTCCCTACTTAGGGAGACAGCAATGATCAGCGCAGCTCGGTTTGCTCGTATTGGCTCTTATACTTTTCTGCCAGGCGATTTTTAACCTCCCCTGGCTAAAAAAACAACCACCCTCCTTGTGGTTGTGCGAAAAGAGCCCCTCGAGGATGTCGGTCGACTGGTACATGGAGCACATGACCAAGCCAACACAGACTATCGGCTCATCCATGGTGGGCGAGCTGTTTCTTCCCAAAACCATTTCACCTACTTCAACGTTACTGATCCGGTGTTCCCACCAGACAAGTCAATGCTCCGAAGACATCGATTATTGGACACTGAAATACTTTTGACGCCTGCGGGCAGCGGCCAAGTTTCTGACCTGCATGATACTAACATCCAGGGCGCCATAGCATCGTATGATAGCTTGAAAATCAGTACCGGGCATAAACAATCCGTCCGGAAAGGTCTTACACTAGTTCACAATCCGGGTGAAATTTTGCAAAATAGTTGTTCCATGTGGTGTTCATCATTAGCTGTAAATCCCGCGTATTTGCCATACAGTGGCTGTGACTGTCAGTTTCGTTCACCTGTGTTGGAGAGGTGAAGTAGATAGCTACAAATTCGAGGTGGTGGCTGATATATTATCATCATTGTCAGCTGTAAGAACCGCGTACTTGTTTTACAGTGGTTTTAGCTGCCACAGTTTCGTTCAACTGATGATTGAGGAGGTGGGATAGGTAGCTGCGCTGCAGCTGATATAATTGATGCGTAACTATATGGGTGTCAGTGGAATTTTAATTTGGGAAACTGGGAGGGGAGCTGTGCGTTGAAGACAAGAGCTTGAATACATGAGAGCCATTGAGGGCGCAACTGCTCCATATCTGATATTTTCTCGAAACATTGATGTGTCCCACCTAGAGGTCCCTACTTAGGGAGACAGCAATGATCAGCGCAGCTCGGTTTGCTCGTATTGGCTCTTATACTTTTCTGCCAGGCGATTTTTAACCTCCCCTGGCTAAAAAAACAACCACCCTCCTTGTGGTTGTGCGAAAAGAGCCCCTCGAGGATGTCGGTCGACTGGTACATGGAGCACATGACCAAGCCAACACAGACTATCGGCTCATCCATGGTGGGCGAGCTGTTTCTTCCCAAAACCATTTCACCTACTTCAACGTTACTGATCCGGTGTTCCCACCAGACAAGTCAATGCTCCGAAGACATCGATTATTGGATACTGAAATACTTTTGACGTCTCAGCGTGCAGCGGCCAAGTTTCTGACCCGCATGACACTAACATCCAGTGCACCATAGCATCGTCATAATCGGCAGCACGGCATTAGAGTTCAACATTGCTGCTTCGCTGCCGTACAACCATACTTTATTTGAAAGCCTTATTGTGAGGAAAAAATAAAGATGGACGGTGAGGGGACTTAGCGCTAGCATTTTTATTGTGAGGAAAAGAATAAAGTTGGACGGTGAGGGGACTTAGCGCTAGCATTCCGAGGTGCCTACACACATGTACGGCAGTGAAGCATCGGTGTTGAACACTGATGTCATGCTGTTGATGATGATGGTGATGATATCCAAACACTCATTCAGGCAATCTGGATAGAAACTGACAACAAAATCGCCACTGACAGCCATAACTTCCAGCGTCCCCAACCGCGCACAGTGAGGATCATGCGTTACCCATCCTGGAAGTACAAGTAGCACCGAAACGTTTCGTGATTTCTTTTATACCCCTCTGCCAGGTGAAGGGTCGCCACTCAGAACAAGGCACGGAAAGCAGCACTCTTGTCGGCGAACGATGGTTAGGCATACGCAACACATGTCCAGACTAACGCAGCTTCTGGTGCTGGACACATTCTTCAGCGGAAGTACCTGTTGCACAAACGAAAACTCGCTTTCTAATTACCTCGTCACGGATATGCTGACACCAACCCACACGAGCTATTGCTCCGAGACGATGATTGTCGAACACCTGAAGACTTCTTAGTTGCGCTACCCGAACAGGCCAAGTCTCACATCCATACAACAAATGCAGCCCACACTGTAGCCTGATACAGACGTCCCTTGGGGTTCAGGAATGCACCACTTTGACACCATAGGTGTCTCAAATTAGCAAACGCGACCCGAAACTCGTAGATTCGTACGTCTGTCACACTGCAATTGGAAGTAATACGACTTCCAGGGTATGGGAAATGCTCCGCAACTTTGAGTGCTTCTACATGGATTGTAAGTGGTGTGTTTAGCGACTGCACGTCCAGGAGCATGGTCTTACACTTCATGGGTGCAAATTGCATACCAAAGGATGGGATGATTTTGGCCAGTTCATTCAAAGAAACACCTACACCTCTCTTCGAAGACGAGAGCGATGTCATCTGCATATTCCAGATCGACAGAGTTTTCGTCAGAGGCTATTTGAACACCGGTATTTTGAAGACCTTGCAGCGTCCGTTTTGGTATTTCGTTGATATGGAAATTAAGTAAGAATGGAGAGGGTGTGCACCCTTGACGGAGGCCACTTTGTACTGAAGCTTTTGGAGGGCTCGCTGTATACTCTCACGTCCGGAAGTTTGAGAATGCGATGAACTTATCATGTTCACAAGCTTCTGGGGCATTCTTTGGTAGGCAGGCATGTTTGGGAGAATGGATCGGTCAACCGAGTCGAATATGTTTTGGAATGCTCTGACTGTGGGCTGCTTGTATGTACGACTTGATGGAGTGTGATGATTTGGTAAACACAGTCCTTACAAGGCCGGAGTCTCGCTTGCTGCTCTCGAGTGTGTTTCATGAGCCGCCACAAGACGACGAAGCACAAGTAGCGCCAACAGTCTCGTTACGATCGAGGTCAAGCTGATCTCCCTTTGATTACCATACTTGCTACTTACTTTTTTGAAAATGAGCACTCACCGACTCTCCCCAGTTTTCTCAGACAGCCTCCTTTTTCCAGCTGCAAGCAAACATCAGACAAGCGCTGACTGAGGACTTCACCCGATCTCTAAGCAACTTGGGTGAGAGGTCATCCGGGCCAGGAGCCCAACGGTCGAGGCGTTCTTTATTCAAGAGAACAACTCGGGTGAGAGGTCATCCGGGCCAGGAGCCCGGGTGGCGGCTAGGGACCATATATTGTAATAAGCCTCCGAGACCGCTCCAAACGTTCCACTTTCACCGTCAGCTGTGGTCTCCAGATCAGTGGCGGCTGGCAACCACGAGAACTGTTGTCCGAAGTATTCTACCCAACGGTCGAGGCGTTCTTTATTCAAGATGGTCGCTCCTTTCTGATGCTTAGTGGTTTGAGCACCGCAGCATTGTAAACTTGACCCTTGACGGATGTGTGGATGTCACGCTTAAGCTACAGGTGATACGGGTTCATGAAAGCTGCACCGGCCTTCCCGATCTGGATGGAACTATCATTGGCGAGAACCCGGAGAGTGGTATATCCGCCCAGGTAAACAAATCTGCCTACTACCTCAATCGGGTTATCTGTAAGTAGGAGTTCGGGTTTCAAGCCCACCCAGTCTTGCAGAAACGCTTTTCATTTCGCAGGCATTAAACGCATGCCAGACCATTAGGCAAAAATATACTGATTATTAAACGTCCGCGCTACAATGCCGTCAGATCCAAGAAAATGTATGTCGTCTGCGCACTCGAAATCTTTGAGTGACCCCATAGGCAATAGAGGCTTGGAGTGAGTGTTCCATTGTAAAATCAATGATGAGGCGAGGTGGTTCAGTAGTTAGAGCGCGAGTTTACTAACCTGAAGGTCTGTGATTCGAACCCTACCTCTTCGTCTCGGCTTTCTCTTTCTAGGCTTGGGCAACCTGGCAATATCCCGGCACTCGTGTTTCCTTCGGGTGGCATGGCAGCTAGGCACCGAAAAGATGCTACAGCGGAACAATTTTTTCAGTGACAAATTTGAAAAGGAGGGGTGATATAAAACAACTTTGCATGACACCACTTGATATAATGGATTCGGGCGAGAGCTTCACGCGTCCGCGGGAGTTGAAGTACAGCGCCTTATGGAGAGTTAGGAATTTACGGGGGACATCTTTGGTTGATAGACACTGTCATAGTGCCTGAGGATCCACAGATTCAAAAATATCGTTCAAGTCAAAGAAGACCACCATTGTTGGTCTCTGGAAGCAGTATCGCTGTTCCAGAATCTGTCGGGTGGTTAAAATGTGATCGGTTCATCCTCTTGCAGGACGGAACCCAGCCTGGTTCTCACGGATCTGTCTCCCCTGTGTTCATTTAACTTTCGAAGGATAAGACGTGAGAGCACCATCGATGCCACGACTACAGGTGGTTGCCACGGTAGTTTTCGCACAGCATCGGCGTGCCTTTTTGAAGACAGGAATAACTGTCGACTTGTCCCATTCTTCAGCTACTTTCTCATCACTCCGTATCGCAGTGGGTTTTATCAGATGGGTCACCAGGGATTCTCCGCCTTCTTTGAAGAGAGCTTTAATACAAATTGTCCAGTCGTGGGGCCTTCTCACGTTTAAGTATAGATATTTCGTACTTTATATCTTCCGACGAGCGATCAAGGTTTACATTCTGTTCGCCCATATGAACTGTGTTTCTGGAGGCCAGCTAAACTGCTATTCGAAGTTTTCGGCCCATCTTTCGAGTCGACGATTTTTCGAGTGAATTAATGAGCCGTTTTTTCGCTTGTTGTTTCCTGACTGTTGCTTTCCTTTGGCCAGTCGATCGTATTAGTTTGTATAGAGCACCCTCCGTCATGTAGCTAAAGTCTTCTCCATTTCCTGGGCTTTCGATATTTCGAGTAATTTGCACGCATCTTCGTACTCGTTCCCTGGTGGTATGGATTTTCTGACATCTATCAGTGCCGGTGATCTCGGTGATATCCTGTGGTTGTTCGATCGCATCAGAGAAGTCGGACAAGCCGCATTAAATGCCGGTAGCATAGCTGCTTTTTATCATTTTCCCATGGTTTATCCCCGTGCTCGCTATCTGCACAGTGTTGGTTTACTGTAGAGAGTAGTTGAGTTAGCTCACGTGGACACTGTTGAGCTGTTGTAGATTGGCACTCTTCTTACTGACTTAGAGGCCCGGAAGGGAAGCGAATTTTCGGGCGTGCTTGCGCAATAGCGTGGTTGGAATCATTTTGTGCCCCCCAGAAGGAACGACGTTTTCGAATTGTTACTGTCCACTGGGGGCTGATGACCACGTGATCTACGGGTCCACGGTTGATTTGCACCTGCTTGCCTCCAGGTTATGCGATGCGGAAGTTTATGTTGAAAGTTCGTACTGACAAAAACAGTTGGTCAGCACACTACTGAAGGAGTTGTTCCTCGTTGTCTCTGCTATGAGCATCGACTCGAGTCGACCGTCCAGATGTGAGTTCAAGGAGCTCGGACGACCGACTTGGGTATCCATATCGCCCGCAAGGATTATACTGTCGGTCTTTCTTGTTTGACAAACGAACCTGAATAACTCTCAATAGAGAGTATCCTTTTCAGCGTCAGAACTGTAATCCTTTGTGGCACACACTTGCGGTACAAACAGGCACCGTTCTTTGTGTCCAGGTACATTCAGCTGGATAACCGGACAGCATAAAGACCAATTCACTGAAATGCAATTCAGCAGGGCGCTTTTAGATCTGTGGCTGAGTGCAACTTCCACGACATATATTCTACAATTTATCGCTCCTGGATCACCGGACACACGGAGGGAGAAATATCAGATAGCAGAGTTCGTCCTTGGCGTTTTTAGATGTATGGTCTTGTAGGCGTGTTTCAGAGGCACAGCGTGCACCAATTTTAAGAGAGTATAAGGTCTTTGCGAGCATAGCCTGTTTGCCAATTCGCCGTAGAGTACGGAGCTTGAAAGATGTTATGTTGTATTTAGCAAGGTGTTATTTTGTTTATTGTTAATAAGCAGCGGAGTGCATAAGACACATCAGTCAGATAACTCACAATCAGATGACTCGGAAGCGTTTGTTTGTGTGATGGGAGTGGGTTGGAAGGAACATTGTTGAACAGAGGACTGTACGGGCAACCGTTGGTTAATCGGAGTGTGTGGTTTTTATAGCCAACCTTTTCTAACTCGTCCTTCCTCGGGAGAAGGCAGCATCGCTGCTTCCATTAATATGAACGTGCTGGCCTCTTGGGGGCATCAACTTACTGCCTTCACACTCCCATCGCAGACGACAGTACGGCTTTACCTCCAGACTGCTTCGTAGCCCGGGGTCTTGCTGATCGTGATCTAACTGCTCCCCCTTAGCCTTTCTGGCATTGTTGCATATGGTGGAACGAAGTTCCGACCAGTGTGGTTCGCGGGATCATTGCAGCACTCAGGTCCAACCACCACGTCAAGGTGGTAGCTTTAGATCAGGAAAATGCGAGGAAGGTGCATTTTATGGGTTACCTCTGAACGACAATGGTATTTTGACTGCATAGGATTTATCGATCGGGTTTGTAGGGCTTCGTGAAATCCTAACCACTCCATAACTTCACTTTTTCTTGAGAGCAGGGCTGACGGTATAGCGATGTGTACTAGCTTCCGAATGAATGCATCCTAGTCTCGGGTACCGGTCGGTGCGGCTGATCAGCAAAGGGTTTACAGAGGACTTGAAATTTACAGGTGTACATCGTTAGAAACTCTCCCAGGCCCGACTTACTTCATCATGTGTGGCTCTATAATTTGGTCGCAGCGATTTCCACCTTCTAAGGATTTTACAACTTCAAAATACAGGATGCCTGAGTTTGCCTTCCGATATTGCCCTTAATATTTGTGGCGAAAGTCGTGAATAATTCCACAATTTCGTCGTGTGTAACGCACATAGAAGAATGCGTTGGATGCAAGCAAACCCGGAGCAGTATCATTGTCCATCCTACCAGACGAATAATATTTATATATGATGGAATTCCTGAGAGAGCGTTGGGATGTGTCACTGAACAATGAGTGCCATTCCCTTCGAAACCGAAGTGCATTTGCTCTCTCCTGCTTTTCGAGAGAGCTTTGTAGGCCCTTCTTACTTTGTTCGGAAGCTCAGGTAATCGAAGCCATAATGTGAGTGGACGGCTTTCGTTTGCTTCAGCCCCTCCCCATCTTTATCAACGGACTTGAATTTTTACGGCAGTACCTTCGGTTTGAAGGATGGTTCTGAGAATAACAAAATGATCGTTCAGCTGCAACCCCCTCTCGGTGCCTAGCTGTTATGTCTGCTGATTCGCCAATCTGTGTATCTGCTGTTGACCCGCTCCAGTGCCTGGTGCTGGAGAAAAAAGACTCACAGAAGGGAACACAACAGTTATATTCCGAACAAGCGAGTGCGAGAGCATGAGTGCGTGCGAGTGCGAATGTACAACGGTCCCAAGCTATTTATTGGAGGGACACTGTCTGAACTTGGTCTAATGCTGACTCGTCGCGCTACAAGACTGTGACGCGCTGCATATTGGGGGGGGGGGTGTTGTCTGTCTGGTCAACATCTAGCGGAGCTGAGAGTCTCGGTAGATTTCGGGCATTCGGTGGTTGCTTTCAGGAAGCCGACCTTCTTGATACTAGCTACGTTGCCACCCAAGGAAGCACAAACCCAAATGGGAACGATCATGTTGCCCTGGTTGGTTTAGAACTACCGTCTGTAAGTACCTGTCTTAATCACTAAGCTGTTTCGAGCTCGATGGCTCTGAGAACCTTTATTTGTACTCAATATCATCCCAAAGTAGCAGGTCAAGAGGAGCTTGTCAAATGACGTGACATATCGAGTTTACCAGGGTTGGGAAGATTCGTCCAGCTATCTCAGTGCAAACAGCTGCCACGAATGTAGATTAGGGTGGAATTTTCCGTTGTGTACTGGCTTAGATAAGATGCGGTCTATAGGAACAGAATGACATGCGAAGTTGGAGAGCCTCACAGAAGAGGTGTTGGGTGATGCGTTTACAATCCATTTTCCGCCGCTTCACCACAAGGGATGAGGTGCTTTTCGTTAACGGGCTAGCCATCAACCGTCATCTTTCTTACGTGATTGTCGAGAATTCGGTGTTTTCAGCAGCTGTCAAAGTAGATGTTTGGCCAGTCTATGTGCTCCAGTTATTCAGTACACCTGCACATCTCTAACTGGGACATTAGCCAGTGCATGTATGTGGTGAACCCGTGTCTTTGAGCAAAACCGAGTGGTAGTATTAATTTCGATCCGGTCCTGTATATGGACCATAATTATATGCGCACGACATACTCCGTACCCATATCAACTACAACAACACCTGTTTCTTATTGCATGTTAAAAGGAATGGGGCTTCCGAAATTCCAACTCAGATCGCCTTGTTAAAATGATCCTCCATTGGTCAGCCAAACAATTGAATAGCAGTCCGCGGTGGGTGGTATCCACAGCTCGTCACCGGGAAATCTAAAAAAACTGTCTCAGGAATTTGGGACTCATACAATCCCCGCGAATTCGACTTATACCGATCCTATGTGGTATTGGTATTTCAGGGAATCGACCTTTTTTTACTGAAAATTCGGTTGAGAGGCTTCACGGACGCGGAGTGCGCGTTCGAATTTCACTTAAATCACACACCAATTAATTTCCCAAAGGGCAACCGTCTGGCCACCGTTTACGGCGTCGCAGGAGCTGGTCAGAGGATGTACTTTTCACTTATTGAATTAGTATACCGGAGCCGTACACAGCTCAAGCGTCCAGCTATGATTAATAAACACCATCACCAACCCCTTCCCATTCATTGAAAACACCATGCGAAGGGTAGATTTTTTTTACATTAGTGGTGGAGTTACGAAATTGCTCTTAGCTCTCACGCTTGCAGTGGACTGGACTGCTCTGATAGCTCAAAGCTCCTCTTTGTACACGTATATTGCGGGAGTGGAATGAGAAACGATTTTTTCCGCCAACCAATGCTGTTACAACCATTCAGTCGTTGTCCCTAGCACATGCACATCACAGGAGCCAAACGACAAATTCCCCACCTACTTAATCAGGGGGACAGTGTCGTATCTCACCATTGTCATATTGAAAACAGAATGACCCCACCCCCCGCAACACTTTGTCGTTAAATTACGCACGTCTCTGTTTTTCATGTCATGTATGCTGAATCCGTGCGGCAAAACGGCTTGCTTAGTTCTCCTAACCAAACCAATATGTTTGGATCGATTTTGCTTGGACAGGTGTATTGCGATCAAACGAAATGATTATCTTGGACATTTGAAGTGGTCACGAGTAGTTGTTTCTTGTAAGACTTCTTGTTGCAGAATATTCTATCATGGGAACAATTAGGCCTTTGAAAGTCGTTTCCTCGAGAGAGGGCTTATTGCATGTCATATAGAGAATTCGGTCATTATTGGATTGGTACGCTTCGGTTCGTTCCTTTTTGCACCCTCAGGGGCAAGATGGCTCAAGTGGTTAGATCGCGAATTTACTGACCAGAAGGTCCGTGGTTCGAACCCGACCTCTGCCCCTCGACTTCGCCTCTCTAGGTTTGAGCAACCTTGCGGTATCCCAGGCCTCATGGTTCCTTCGGGTGGCATGACATCTAGGCACCGAAAGGGCATTACAGCTAAACGATTATCATATTATTATATTATTTTGCACCCTCATCGCATTCGTTTGACGTTTCAACTGTGTGGCGTGCCTCGATACATCGTATCATGTTCCAAATAACCGAGCAAGCTGATGCCAGCCAAGTCAAAAAGAGCTCGCAGCATCGCTCATGACATCAGTCACTTAACGCCACAGTCAACTGAAGAATCTTAATTGGTGTCTCCCCTTGGAAACCAGAATGTGTGTTCTGTACTGTCCGCTTTGTAATTTCCCTAAAAAATCAGTCAATGTGGCTAGCTAAACGCACCTACATATTCGGCCAACTTTGTCGATTTTCCATCTCTCTCATTGTTCGCCGATGTTTCCCAAATTACTTCCATTTCGCTTAGGTCCATGCCTGTGAGAACTTGACACGTTTGGTGTCGGAAATCAAACAAATGCTGATTCTCGGGGACTTTCGTTGGCTTGCTCAAATCACAACAGCTAACGCGGAGGATTTACGCAAACGCCGGGCTCATCTAGATCGTATCAGTCTACGACTTCGTGACAAACTGGTGGCCGATCTGTATGCAATTGAAGAGGAGTGCGCTGGCGGTGGTAGCCTCTTTGCTGCGACTGCCGTTCCACCACCGACTACATTATCTTCTGATTGATTTGTAAATTCAGACTCACCGTTTTTCCCTCCCTTCCGACAAAAATCGAAGCCATTACCGACGTTTTTGTATTTCCTGTTCCTCCTGGGTTCACACTGACGGACTTTTCATGGTACCGAAAAGGGTAGACTCAAAGGTGTGCTATCAACCGTATGACCTGTGACACTATCAAGGCCACTCCGTTTATCGCCCCTGTTTCACCTACCACATTGGAATTTCAACTTTCACCCACTCATGGAATCTGCTCACTGAACGCACTTAGCTGCTAAGGAATCTCGTTGCGTGCTGAGAGGGATTTGAGACAATACACAGTGCTCATGGATTTAACCAGTGTTCTCGTGAGGTCACAGTTGAAGTGTTATTGGTCGCAGTGGATAATGTTCTCGATATGAGCAACACTGTTCCGTCATTCTCCATTAGGCCACTTGAGATGGATATCACCTCTTGACAGTCATTTTTCAACCCCCCCCCCCTCCCAGATTTCCAAGCTCCTTTATAGAGGTGTAATTTAGACTTAAAATTTGGACAACTTCTACTTATGATAGCAGTTTACATGCACAGGTTACACTGCGACGGGAGACAAAGTACAATGGCCTACTCGCCCTTACAGTGCTTTGCCTTCAGGTCTTGAAGCTAACCATGATGGCAATAGCCTGTACCCAGACACCTATCTACCACACGATTGTCACAAGTATTTTTTAAGAGAAATCGCTGGCTGCCCACGTGCGGTGGTTACCGCTTCGGCTTGGACTGAAAGTGGATGATGACGTGGTGTAAAGCCAGGGCACACCCAGGGGAGAAAGAAGTATCAAACAGTTGTTGATCCGAGTTGTATGTTGGTAAATCGATAGATGAATTGGGAACTGGATTCACTCAAGGATGACACCCAGGAATACTGGACACATGCAGCTGGATGACTTACTGGCCCCTGCTACTCGCTAGTGAACGGTCCGCCTGCCATAACGTCCGCACCCCCCCCCTGCCATAAACATCTATGCTATGTCTCAGTTCTCATTTATGTCTGATATCACCTTTTTCCGTTAAAATAAGATCAGCTGTCGCTCATTGGCTTCCTTGTTTTGAATCCTCATTTACTTTGCCTTGTCCTGTTTCCCATTAGAATTGTCTTCAGTACAAGACTAACAAAATAGTATGGTTGTAAAAACATCACCAGTGTTCATTGGACTGCTGCTTATCGGTGCGCGCAGGGCTCCTGACGGGAACACTGTGATGAAATGGAGGTCACGATCGCATCCAATTATTTGCGATGGCTACAACATCTTCGCTCGATGGGTGGGGACAGGATTTCGAAGCAACTTTTGTTTGGTCAACTGCATACCAAAAAACCCAAACAGCTTCGGTATGTGGGCACTAGTCCCAAAACTGCTTATGTGGATATCGCTGTGTTCATCGTTGTCCAGATCCAGCCGGATAATGTCTAGCTAGTGCTGCACATATTTGTGGCTAGGGTGCGACCGAACCACCTTTTGCGTATTTAGCTGTCCACACTTAGTCTAATAATAACCGTTCAGCTGTAACACCCCTTCAGTGTCTAGTTGCCATTCCACCCGACGGAAGTATGAGGGCTGGGATAGAATCAGGCTGGCGAAGCCTAGACAGGGGTAGTCGGGACGCCGAGGTCGGGTTCGAGCCACGAACCTTCCAGTCCACACTTAATAACTATGAGCCACAGGTTGACCATGCTGATGACTTTAAGTGTTCCCATCTGTTCATCTTCCGGTCTTGTTCTATTGAGTTTATACCGGGTTCGCGGCGTTCAGGTGGATACATATGTGACCAAACGCAGACCTCATTTGGCATTATCTAATGCGTGTGGGGTTGACAGACTCATCCGAAAGCTAATGCCAGTCACATGCCGCTAGACTATTGGTCTAACAGTCGTCCACTCGCCACTTCGGGGCGAGATGGCTTAAGTGGTTAGAGCGCGAAGTGACTGGCCGTAAGGTCCGTGGTTCGAACCCGACCTCTGCCACTCGACTTCCCCTGTCTAGACTTGGGCAACCTGGCCGTATCCCAGCCCTCATGCTTCTTTCGGGTGGCACGGGAGCTGGGCACCGAAAGGGTGTTGCAGCTGAAAGAGTTAGGGAGATTACTTCGCGTAATGGTGCCAGTAATTGAGCCTCGCAGTCATCCCACAACCTATGACAATTATGTCTCTTTTTGCTGGAGCATAGGATTATTGTCACTGAGGTGAATTCAAAGTACGAACAGTGAGAGCTCTTTTAGCTTGTTGGAAATTCAACCAAAAGAAGGTCCGAAACACATTCAAAGCACGGGGTCTGTTATGTCTGCTGATTCGTCAATCTGTGGTATCTACTGCTGACCCGCTCTATTGCCTAGTTGCCGAAAAAAAAACAGAAGGAAACACAACCGCTATATTCCGATGATTCGTCAGTGGTATCTACTGCTGACCCGCCCTATTGCCTAGTTGCCGAAAAAAAACTCAGAAGGAAACACAACCGCTATATTCCGAACGAACGAGTGCGAGAGTAAAAGTTGCAACGACCCCACGCTATTTAAAGGGGACTTTCTGACATTGATCCAGGTTGTCTGCCAGGCGTTAGTAAACACCCATCAACATCGATCATGCCTCTATGAAATGCCTGAACGCTGATTACATTCGGTCGTGCTTCTGTG